TTTATTAATTTAAGTTTAAAATTTAAGTTTTGTTACAGTAAAAAGTTTTTAAAAACAGTCATATCTAATTTTATTATTATAATAAAAAATTTTCATATAAAATTACATCTCAACTCAAATTACAAACTCGAATCATGAACAGGCCATAATATACGGATACACATTACACGGTGCCTCCATAAAACACTCTCTCCCGCGAGAAAACAGAAACAAGAGATCAAAGCAAGACAAATGGACAATTTTACCCCCGAATCTCTCTTCCTCACTCTCCTGCCCATCGTCTTCTTCTTCATCTTCATCTTCAACATCCTCCGCCCCCGCAAAAGGCAGTACATGAGTAACACTGAGCCGCCGTCTCCGAGAGGATTTCCGATCATCGGTCACCTCCACCTGGTAACCGACATGCCCCACCACTCCTTCGCCCGACTCGCCGAGCGACTCGGCCCGGTCGTCCTCCTCCGACTCGGCCGAGTGCCGACCATCATCATCTCATCCGCCCGACATGCCGGCCTCGTTCTAAAGACCCACGACCACGTCTTCGCCAGCCGCCCTCAGCTCGTGGCGGCGCAGTACCTCTCCTTCGGCTGCTCCGACGTCACCTTCTCCGGCTACGGCCCCTACTGGCGCCAAGCCCGGAAGATCTGCGTCTCCGAGCTGCTCAGCCACAAGCGGGTCAACTCGTTCCGACTCGTCCGAAGCGAGGAGATGAACCGGATGCTGACTCACCTGTCCTCGTCCGGTTCAGACGATCCGGTCGACATGAGCAAGGTGTTCTTCACGTTGGCGAACGACATCCTCTGCCGAGTGGCGTTCGGGAGGAGGTTTATCAAGAAGGAAGGACAGAATCGTCATTTGACGGGGGTGTTGACGGAGGCGCAGGAACTTTTCGGTGGGTTCTGCGCTGGGGATTTTTATCCCGAGTGGCAGTACTGGGTTGACTGGGTGACCGGGTTCAAGAAAAGATTGGAGAAGAACTTGGAGGATCTTAGAGAGGTTTGTGAAGAGATAATACAAGAACACGTGGAGAGATCAACGGATCGGATTAGCAGTACAAATGGTGAAGATTTCGTTGATGTTCTTCTTCGTGTGCAACAAAGAGAAGACTTGGAAGTGCCTATTACGGACGATAATCTGAAGGCTCTTGTTCTGGTAATTAATCAAACTAGTACTATGTACTTCTGAATCTGATCTATTACATCTTTTTCTCCTTACACTGCTCATGTTGGTTTAAATATTAATTCTACGTGAACTGACACGAGTGTGTGCGGTGACCTGGCGGTATAAAATTATTAACGGTTGGGTCTGTGGTTAAAAGTACGAATACCAATGTGATTTTTTCTAGGGTTTTT